GCTCCACGGTCTGGGAAAGGCTAATCTCTACCCAATGTAAGGGTAGATCTTACACAGAAAAGCCTTGATCATACTAGCAAAGTTGAACAAATAAATCTTTCAGACACAGGGTAAATAAATGATTTTTTTCTTACCTGTTCGTTCGGGTTTGCTGATACATTTTCGGATATTGACTCAAGAGTGGAAGGGAATGGCTTCTCAAAGAAGCAGGCTAATGGAACATGGAAAGGCAATACATCAAGGAGATGGGCAGCTGGGTGTCCTAGCTGTGAACTGCCGTGGATTCGGTAGCCGGGAAGGCTTGTCTCAGCATCAGCGAGTTGAGTGATAAGGTGACCGAGCAAAGTGAGTGTTCGGTGATCAGGAGGACACAGGTTATGGCGGAAAGCAGCAGCGTCGGTTAGGAAGTGATCACGCATTGCAGACTGGGGACTGGCAATAAAGTCATGCAAATAGACTAAGGAAATTGTTGGAGATACTACAGAAACAAAACTCTGACTAATCAGTTATAAAGAACGCGGTAAATAGCGCATTCTGCTGCCTTTATCACTATAGTGATGTGATCCTTGTAGCTCCGGAAAATGGAAGGGGTGAATATACATATGTATCGTCTGAATCGTTATCTGTTTTATCCATAGGAAGAGCCAAATCTAACGCCAGATAATACGTCAAACAAACGGATAAAGGTATAAATGAAAAGGAGGATATTGTTGCTTCTATTTTAGTCGCAGTCGCCTTTCAATGCATAGAAGTAGTCTAGACTCTTATTGCAACTTAATCATTTTGTCAGGGGAACCCAGTTGGATGCACTTCATTCTGAAGTAAGGCGAAGTTTATGATATGTAGAGGAATAAATTATTTTAGTTTATGGATATTAAGTCAAAGCTCCGGCGTAATATGGTCAGGATTATGACTTCGGAAGACTTTAAATAACAGGCTTAGGCATGGGATTATAAATACGAAGAGAAACTTGGTTTTGATGAATCTCCTAAAAAAATATTGTTAGGGGGACCTTCATTTCGGATGAAAGTGCATGAAGAAGAGATTCGTTGGTCGATCTCACCAGATGAGGACGGACGAATCTCGTCGTACTGCAGCCGTTTACCTTTTATACGATATTCATGCTGACGCAGTCTACGGGACTTCCTCCCTTGTTTCGGGTGAAAACGTGCTGAGCTTTCGTCCACCATATGATGAACATCATCAGAGCTGGGTGTCATTATTGCAAAAGTCTCACGTTAACATTAGGCCAATAACACTATCCGGCTCTATCTTAATAAATTGGAGCAAATAAATTAAAACCACACCTATTACTATAATGAAGCTATAATCCAGGAATTAGTAATAACGTGATTACGGTTAATCCGCAACTCAG